AGCCAAGGTCCCCTCAGTGGTTCCACTTCTGCGCTGGCTCAGAGCCTGGCTCTGGACACAGCTCCTGAAGCAAAGACCCCACCACCCAGGCATGATCAGGCTCTGCTGCCTCTGGGGTTTACCAAGAAACATGGTTATCCTATCAACAGTGTCTTCCTCCCGAGCCCTGCCTATGCACCAGGGCACTGCAGAACCTCTCTCTTTCATGGATTCACATCTCACTGTTCCCCTTACGGAGAAGAGGAGGAGACGGAGGGTCAGGAAAGTGCAGCTCACAGCCAAACGCGGCCAAGTGCAGGAAATCAAACCTTCTGATTTCAAAGCCCAGGCTGATGAGCACAGGGCTGCTCCGCTCTGCCCCTGAGGCCAGGAATAGGAACCAGCATTGCTGGAGCCCTGCTGAGTGGCCAGACCTGTGCTGAGAGCTGGCGTGGGGAGGAGGGTGGCTGGAGAATGGACAGCAATGACCTCTCCTTCTTAAGCTTCAGAGGCCCTCGGGTCCCCAGGTCCCTCTTCCTGTAGATAGAAGGGCTTAGGGATCCAGAAACAGGATAAAAGAAACATTGCCCTGGTCTTTCAGGGCCATATTAATTGTAAATTTGCTTCCTCTCACTCTCTGCTCGAATCCCTCTTGTGGCTTCACGTGGGTCTTAGAATAAAATTCAGAATCCTTCTGTGGCCTTCACTGGGGTCATCAAACTATGGCCCATGCACCAAATCTGGCAAGCAGCCTGGTTCTGTAAATTAAGTTTTATTGGAACACATCTGCACGCATTCATTTACGTATTGCCTATGACCGCTTTCTTCCCACACAGCCCTAAAATATTCACTCTCCTGCCTTCACACAAAAGGCTTGCAGACCCTGGTCTTCTGGGTCCTGCATGGTGTGGTCCTGCCCACAGGGCTACCACCTTGCATAACTCCAGGGGAATTATGCAATCGGCATGTGGACTGCTTGCTCTGGAGCTGTGCAGTGCGCAGCCTGCTCAGCCCGACCCAGCCAGCCTGTCTCCCTACCTCTCCAGGCTCATCGCTTGCTCACTGAGCACCTTACACAGTGGAGGAAGCTGGCTTGGCAGGGTCTAGGGCAGTGGTTCTCAACCTTCTGGCCCTTTAAATACAGTTCCTCATGTTGTGACCCAACCATAAAATTATTTTCATTTCTACTTCATAACTGTAATTTTGCTACTGTTATGGATCGTAATGTAAATATCTGATATGCGGGATGGTCTTAGGCGACCCTTGTGAAAGGATCGTTCGACCCCCGAAGGGGTCGCGACCCACAGGTTGAGAACCGCTGGTCTAAGGGGTCGACTGAGGCTCAGGGAACACAAAGAGGGGGCATGCTCTGCCCTCAGACGGGATCATCTACCACTTCTTCTCGTTGTCCATCCTCAGGTCTGCTCCCTGCCCTCCGGGCCCCAGATCCCAGGCTTGCCCATCAGTTTGGCCGCTTGTCCCATCTGTTCTCAGGCATTTGCTTAGTTTTGGCTTCAG